GATTTGAGTAAGACTCTTTAGTGTCCAGCTTTTGTAGTGCCAGTTCCTCTACTCACCAATTGTACCGATTTTTCTATTCAAATTTGCAATTTGTCGTTGTACAAGTGCACAGATTCTTGGCCTTAATTTGCACGTGTTACTTTGTGGCATGTGGTTAATTAGTGAAATCGTCAAAAATGAGGGGGGAAAGCTAATGATAAAGAAGAAGAAGAAGAAAAAGTCGTAATGGTGGTACACTCAAACAAAAAAAGAGATATCTATCTGATAGAAAAAGACATGAAGAGTATCTCGAAACAGGATGGGTGGGATGGGTAAAGGGACACGCTTTTAGAGAGCATTTGGATAACCCCACCTCAACTCCACCAACGCCAATAAGTCCAATTTTCTAGTTCTTGCAAAAATTTCTTCAAATCTAAATCTTTTCTCTATTTTAGCATTATTTAACAATCAAAAATTCGCCTTTTTTAATGAAAATTGGTTTTGAAAACTTTCCCCAAAATAATTTTCAGTTTTGAATGAAGACAAAAGGTTGAACATTTTTTTAAAGCATTTTTAAAGCATTTTTTAAGCATTTCTATTTTATTGAGTGTTTTTTTTTGACACTTTTCCCCTTCTCGAAACATATATTTGCATTGTTTTGCGATTTGCATAAGCGGTGAGACGAAAGAGTGCAAAAAAGAAAATCCCTCCACCGATCTCTCCCCATTTTTCGCTCTCTTCAAGTGTCCATTCAAATCGTGAGGATCTTCTTGTTTTCTTTTATTTCTTGCATATTTCTTTCACACTTCTCGGATTGGATTGGAAAATTTGACACCTTTGTCTTGTGCTATCATTTTTTTAAGCTTTCAACGAAGAGATTTAGATCTGTTCTAGCTTTTCTTGGAAAATCATGAAATCATTTTTCTGACACAATGAACTCCTCTCTGTGTTACACTAAAAATACCCGGCTTTTACCATTCTTAACTTTAAAACTCTAGGTTCTCAATTTGAGCACATCTCTTTAATCTTTCACCAACCAGTAATCTATCTCCAATCATTACCAGTAATCTTTCACCAATCATTACCAGTAATCTATCTCCAATCATTGTCAGTAATCTTTCACCAATCATTACCAGTAATCTATCTCCAATCATTACCAGTAATCTTTCACCAATCATTACCAGTAATCTATCTCCAATCATTGTCAGTAATCTTTCTCCAATCATTGTCAGTAATCTTTCTCCAATCATTGCCACCTTCTCAATCTTTGCCTATTATCTCATTGCCTTATAAAGCTTGAAATTTTCAAAGTAAAAAAAGCAGATTTTGATTCAGCATGACTCAAATTCAAATGATTCATGAGCTGTAAGAAATTGTCGATCTCAATGAGATTTGCATTGTCGTGAATTCCTTCTTCCATTTCAGAAGTGATTCCTCTTGTTCTTCGAGGGGTTTTCGCTCTGTTTCTGTTTGTCTCAAAGATTAAATGAAACACGAGAAAGGCGTTATGATTTACACAATTTTCTTTTGCGGGTGAGCACAAATTACTAGCTATTACTTCAAAAGTTCTACACGAAATTTGACCTAAAAACAAGATTTTGATTGTCAGGATTTTGAAGGAAAATAAAAAGAGTTTTAGTCTTTTTTTATTTTATAGCTTCTTTAAGCTTATCAAAAAAGATTGGTCATTTAGGATAAAGTAAAAATTTGTTAATTGATTAGTTATTAGTTGATTGATTGATTGATTGAATGGATTGATTGAATGGATTGATTGATTGATTGATTGATTGATTGGTTGGATTGATTGGTTGGATTGGTTGGTTGGATTGGTTGGTTGGATTGGTTGGATTGATTGGTTGGATTGGTTGGATTGATTGGTTGGATTGATTGGATTGATTGGTTGGATTGATTGATTGATTGATTGGTTGATTGATTGATTAGTCAATGATTAAACATTAATTGATTAGTCAATTGATCTATTGATCTATTGATCCATTGATCTATTAATCAATTGATCCATTGATCTATTAATCAATTGATCCATTGATCTATTAATCAATTGATCCATTGATCTATTAATCAATTGATCCATTAATCAATTGATCCATTGATCTATTGATCCATTGATCTATTGATCTATTGATCCATTGATCCATTGACTATTGATCCATTGATCTATTGATCAATTGATTGAGTCAAATTCTAACTCTTTCTTTCTCAACTAATCACTGACTACCATCACCTTTTCATCTCTTTTTTTCTTCATCAGCTCCCGTTAAGGGTATCGGCTTAGTAGAAAAAGTTGGAGGACACTAAAAGAGAAAAAAAAGAAAGACTAAATGTCTGACACTTTTCAGAGGTCAATCCTTTTCTCTCTTTCTTTTCGGTAATAAGAAAACCATAGAAAAAAGAGCATGAACAAGGATGATTCGCAATAAATAACACCCAACGCTTATTTTTTTACTGATTTCCCAATGGTCATCCGATTCTAGGCAGTAAAATCTTGACTTATCTCTTAAATCTTCACCTCTTTCTTTGATTTTATATCTATCCAATAGGATTTTCTATACACTTTTACAATAAATAAGCTCTACAATTTGAGAATTTGAGAAACGGATGAGTCGAAGTCGACTTGACAGTAATATTTGTGATTCTCAGAAACGGTGTGCTTGAGAATAGTAATGGGAATTGGTTGTCCTTGGTTAGATTGTGCCTATTCCTCTTATAAAGACAAACGCCGCAACTAAACACTTCAAGGAAAGTCCCCCATTGTAGAAAGAATGCTCGGATCATTGTCGAGAATTATTCCTTTTCTTTTCCTCTTTTCCTCTTTTTCTCTTTTCCTCTTTTGCTCTTTTTCTCGTTGAAGAGACTATTGAAGAGAGGGTTCAACACCAATATCATCTTTCTTTACCCAATTGCGTGAACATAACCATCGCGGACAGCTGGCAATACTTGTTGTCACTTGTCTGCTAAACTTTTCTTTTCTTTCTTTCATTTTAAAGCAATTCGACTTGAATTCGATTTTAAAATGATCAAAATTTTCAGTTTATTCAACAATTCAACAATTCTGCAAATTATTTTGCAAATTTATGATCATTTCCTCATAAACTTTCTTCCAACTTATTGACAGCTAATCAAAATAATCTATCACTTTGAATCCATCAATTTGCTCCGACTTTAAATCATTTTCATTTCATTTCAATTTCAAATCACTCAATCCATTTCTATATATATGTTGTCTTTAGTTTCCGTCCGTTAGTTCAATCTAAATCGGACGTCCGACAGTTGAACTTATCGCGGACGTCCGTTAGTTACGGTCTATTGACGTCCGTTAGACTCAATCTATCGGCGTCTATAGATTGAACATATATAACTGTTTGTATGCTGTTTCTGTGTTCTTTTCAAAGGTCTGTTACGTCTTTTCTGAAAAGAAAACCCAACTATGAAATATCAATAAACCTGAAAATGCAGAAAACTACAGAAACGCTTAAGAACTATACTAAACATGTTTATATTATTGTTCAATCTAGAAGACGTCCGATTTGTGAGTCGTCCGATAGACTGTAATCTAAATCGGACGTCCGCGATAAGTTCAATCTACGGACGTCCGATTTGTTGAATCTAAATCGGACGGAAATCTAAATCGGACCACATATATATATATACTTTATCCGACAAGGAAAAGTGACAATGCAAACAGATTGAACAGCGTAGACGAAGAAAGATAATTGATATACAAACACAACTACAATTAGACACGTGTATATGACATTAAAAACTAATTTAAAATTGACAGAGCTACAAGCTTCAAAGTGATAGATAGCTGACAGAGCTATCTATCACTTTGAATCCATCAATTTGCTCCGACTTTAAATCATTTTCATTTCATTTCAATTTCAAATCACTCAATCCATTTCAACGCTCATTCATTTATAGATTTCTTTCAGGAAATGAAGTTGAGACCATTATGGAGAGTTAAAAGCTTTAAAAGTTTAAAAGCTTTAAAGCTTTAAAAGCTTTAAATTTTAAAAGCTTTAAAGCTTTAAATTTTAAAAATCTTCTTAACCATAATAATATTGTTGATTGAATCTCCTCGAATCGTACAACCGGCCAATTCAAATCGATTCATTGTCCATTTTTTACTTCTCTCCAATTGCTTGGTCAATTTTTATTTTTCAAATCTTGAACTTTTGTATGATTTTATAACTTATAAATGCTTAATTTAACCAATTTCGGTTAATTTAATTAATTTAACCAAAGTCCTTAAGCTATTTTGATTTCAACTTTCTGTAAAGTTTGAAAAGAGAAATGAAATCGAAGTTTTTCATGGGTTTTTGGTCTAAAAAGTTGGTGAGGTTGATTTTTGAAAAAGAAAACTCAAAGCTTTCCAAATGATTTCCTTCACTAAAATCATAAAATCAATAAAGGTGAAGCTTTAAAGTTTAAAAATCTTCTTAACCTTATTATTAACCTTATTATTGATCTTATTATTAATCTTATTATCAAGGTTAAGAAGATTTTTAAAGTTTTAAAGCTTTTAAAATTTCAAGCTTTAAAGCTTTTAAACTTTAAAGCTTTAAAGCTTCACCTTTATTGTTTTTATGATTTTAGTGAAGGAAATCATTTGGAAAGCTTTGAGTTTTCTTTTCAAAAATGAACCACACCAACTATTGTTGATTGAATCTCCTCGAATCGTACAGCCAGTCAATTCAAATCGATTCATTGCCCATTTTTTACTTCTCTCCAATTGTCGGCAATTTCCATCAGAGAAATCACAAAGGAAATTTCAAATCTCAATTTCAAATCACTCAATCCATTTCAACGCTCATTCATTTATCGATTTCTTTCAGGAAATGAAGTTGAGACCATTATGGAGACGAAAATTCCCTGAAATCTCTGTGATTTCTTTTTTTCTTTTCTTTCAACTCATTGATACACGAATTATCATTCGAAAAACGCGTCATTCTCGATCATTTCTCGATTCAAATCATGATTTTCATTGCTCGAAAAGTAACACAATGGAAGGAGAGGTTTGAGGAAAAAAAAAAGAAAAATTTTCATCATTTCATCAAATTGTCCAATTCAGATTCGCACTTTGGACGATTTAAAGGGAAAAATGAGCAATTTGACAGCAATACATTTACAATTGAGATTAAGGGATACAGCTTGTATTGAATTAAAGGTTTGGCGGCATTTAATGGCCATTTAATGGCAACTTTTAAGGCTTCTTTGTGCCAAAAAATGTAAACGCAACTTTTCTGGTGGACTCATTTCTTCATTTTTTCTGTTTCTACACAAAAAATGAAGAGTTCAGTGCGCTAGAAAGGATTCGTTTGCATGTCCGTCGCTAGAAAGGATGGAAAAAGGGCACGCAAAGTAAAGTATTCGCTTTGTTTTCAGTCTCCAAACTCCTCTCAACATTCCTATCTTCACACGATCGAATTCAAAGCTCTCGAACAGCATTATCCTGTCCTCAACACCTATAAGTTGCTCAAATTTTCCTTGATTTTTTTTCAATTTTTCTTTAAGATTCGCAATCCCTCGTGTTTCCCCATCATGTAAATGCGATTGTCCGAATGGGATGAATGTCTGCACTCCGGAGAAATATCACTACAAGTAAGTACTTTGAACAGTTGAATATCTATTATACATCCCCCCTCTGCCCCTTCTGCCCTCCCGAGTACCCAGCCCTTGTCAGAAGTATTTTGCGTTTTTCTCGACGCACAATTTACCAATTTCGCTGTTTTTGGTTTCATTCGATGCGTCTAACTCTCCTTTATTCAATGAAATTAACCACAGCGAAATTGGTATCGGTATAAATTGGTATCGGTATAAATTGGTATAAATAAACTTGTTTCTCGTTGGCAAAAATGTCTTAATTGTAATGGTTCTTATTTCGATTAATCAACTTTTGTTTGGATCAAGTTATGGGATTTTAAATACCATATTTTCTCTAATAGTAGTGCACGCAGAGCGTCGTCTAAATTCCTCGAAATCTCGAGAACCGCTTATCAGAACCTATCGATGTGGGGTCGGAAAATGTAGCTGACGATGAGATCTTGTAGGGGATTTGAGTGTTGAGCTTCTGTGAAAAATTTGGAAACCGTAAAATAGTCGCCAACTCGGCTCACCGAGGCGCACTACAATTGACCAGATGGCCGTCCGGTTAGGAGTCTTGTCTCTTACGCGAAAGGTCGAGGGTTCAATCACGCTGGCAAGACAAAAATGTTTCTTTTTTCCACGAATTGCGTTTTTTTCTTTCACAACATTTGGGTAATAGGGGTAACGACGGCCGCAATGCCATAAAATTGTATTTTTAGACCATTTTTAGACCATTCATTCGATGCATCTAACTCTCCTCTATTCAATGAAACTAAACACAGCGAAATTGGTATATTGTGCGTCGAGAAAAAAAAGGCAAAAAGCCTCTGGCAAGGGGGGCACTTAGCGGGATATACAAGAGGGCAGAGGGGGGCATAATAATAATGTATAATATCTATATACAGTCGAACCTCTCTACAACGTAACTCACGGGACCGGCTATAGTTTACGTTATATCGAGGTTTTTTTTATAGACATTTTGTATTACATTTGGCCGGGACCGGTCACGCCTTACGTTATAGAGAGGTTTACGTTATATCGAGGTTCGTTATAGAGAGGTTCGACTGTACAAATATTCATTGAATTCCTTGATTTCCCCTCATTTCAGAGCCTGTTCATCTGGCTCTTTTTGTCAGCGTACCTATCACGCGGATCAAAGCTCTCTTGGCTGTGTCTCATCAGGGAATTCGGCTGTTTGTTGTGCGATCAGAATTGATCCGTTTAAGGTAAAGTTTCGATAGCTTTTATTTCTTCTAATTGTATTCTAATAATATTTATTCGATTTATTCTTTCCAATAAAACATCAGTCTCTAATAGAAAAACCACCAAAACCATCAAGACTTTTCATGAATTCTTTTTTAGACTTTTAGACTTTTAAAACTTCTTTCTTCTTCTTTTTTAGTTATAAATAGCTTTAGATAGATGTATTTTAGCTTTAGTAGTAAAATTTGAAACATAGTTTTTGAAAGATAAATGGAAATTCTGAAAAAAATGAAAAATTGAAAAAATTGAAAAAATTTCATGTGGTCCCCCACATGGATTTTTTTTTTGGGAAATTTTTTTTGGTTTTTTTTTTCTATGAAAATCAGGGTTAAGGAAATGATTTCACTTTTAAACACGTTTTTTTTGAAAAGCATTTTTCCACCAAATAGCTATCATTTAAAAGAGTTTTTAGTACTTTTACTCAAAAAAACTTACTTTTAACCCTTACCTACTTTTTTGAGGGTTTAATTTTTTTTTATTATTTTTTTTTGGAGGTTTGAAAAGTCAAAGATCATATTTATTAAAAAAAAAATAAATCTAGGAAATGAAATTCACGGCTGTTCAAATCGAGCAAGCCGACACGATTCTCGTCCTTCACTATCGAATTTTCGAGAGGCGAACGGGTGGCCGATGGAGATTGGCCGAGGACGGAGAGGCGAATAAAATCATCCCGGTAATCATCATCGAAACTTCGAAACTTTAGTCGTTTTCAGGAAATTACGTCCACCAATTATCTTTGACTATTCATTTGCATATCTGCCTAGCATTAACATATAAAGGCGCTCAAATTTGCATATCGCGCACACTTAACATAAAAAGCTGCTCATTTTGCATTAAAAAAAAACAATAAGACTAAAAAGTCAAAATAAGAAATGTTCTTTTTTTTCTATCTTCTGAGAGAATGTGTTTGTTCGTATGGGAATTTTACTACCGTAAATACTGTAATAGTACCCCACCCCCATAATGACGGTGCGGAGTGTTGCGTAGTCTAGCTTTGAACGAGTTTTTCTCGACACTGGTTTATGCTACAATGCGCGCTTAGGTATCAAAAAATAGCTGAATTTCAGGGCTATTTTTTGATACCAAAGACGCATTTTTTGAAAGTACGGGCGCTTTGAAAAAAAATGAAATACTAAAAAACACTTTTGCGACTACGCGACTGTACGAGGGGGGTCTATTACAGTATTTACGGTATATGAGTACCGTATTTCTTCGAATAGAAGATCGGGTAAAGAGTATGATCGCGTACTCCTGCGTAGCAGCCCTTTTTAAAATTTCTTTTCTGCATAAAAGCTTTCAATCAAGTGCTATAGAGCTGGAAAATGGCTCAAAAATACGACATGAGCTAACAGATTTTTGAGTCATTTTCCAGCTCTATAGCACTTGATTGAAAGCTTTTATGCAGAAAAGAAATTTTAAAAAGGGCTGCTACGCAGGAGTACGCGATCATACTCTTTACCCGGACTTCTATTCGAAGAAATACGGTAATTTTTTACTCGATTAATCGACGTTTTTTGGTCGAGTAACTACGAGTGAATCCTCTTTACACGTCGAGTAAATTGAATATCTTTACATTACAGGATTTACGGTATGTTAATTGGTGGGCATAAGAGCCACAAGTACTATGCTTTCAAATGTTTACAAAATTTCTCGAAAATTTAGATCTCAATGAACAAAGGCGGAGAAAGTATCGAATTATCTCGACACCTTGTCGACATTTCCGTTTCTGGTGGAAGACCGGCCAGGGAAATTCTCCCGGGTGTATATTTTGTGAGAGAAGGTTTATCTTTAAAGCAAAAAAACTTTTACCTAATGAAATCTTCTAGGTACACACGAGTTACGCGGTGGCATTCAATTGAATCGACCCGAAGAGACATCATTGAATAAAATGGGATGGTTTAGAAAGAACACCAATGAACAATGGGAAGTGAGAAGAGGCGAAATACTGCTTAAATCGGCTTTGGTAAGTTTTGCGGACGTTTTTACGAGAAAGTCGAGGTTGACGCTTTAAAGCATGGTAATTAAATAATTGATTAAATTAAATTAAAGAATTATTATCTTTAAAGTTATCTTTACGCAAACGTTTATCATTTTTCATAAGTACTTTTTTTTTTAGCATGTGAAAGTAAACGATTGCATAAAACAAAACTACTCGTGGACATGGAATGCCGAACAATATGTGGACGTTGTTGGCACAAAAGAAACCGAGTTTTTCGATTTAGGTTTGTGCACAAAAGAAAGTTTTATAGTTAAATAGGTATTCGAAAAAAAAATTTCAAGTAAAAAGGCAAAAGAATTGACGGCAAGGGGAGTCGAACCGGCGATCTCTCTCTTCCGAGAGACCTCTACGTTAACCACTCGACCATGCTCTATAGTCGATAGTGCAGCGCGAGTGCACTTGTCTCTAGCCCATAAGACCCGGGTTCGACTCCCACTTGCGCAAACAATTTTAGTTTTTGAAAAATTTTAAAACATATTGCACAACTCTATGAAATTCTAAGCCAAACTAACTATTAGTCATTTGAAACGGTCCACTTGGCGCAGAGGAGTGCACAGAAAGACATAACTCGTTTATATACAGTAGATTATAATAATAAATCTCATAATAAAATTTCAAGGGAAACCCCTCACCGATTATGCGTGGATTCGCGAGGCTTTATTCCGTGATCGAGTCGTCAAAGTCGATCACAAAGAGGGGACGACGGTATCGGTTGGTTCTAGATCTTGTCTACAGAAAGTCTAGATATTCATTTGTTATTCTATTGGGTTGGTGAATTGAAAACTGCCAGCTATTGTCGTATGTGACAGTTTGAGGACTTTCTTCAAAAGAAACCCATTTTGGTGTCAATGAAAAAGTTGTAGAGAATCAAAAATCAAGCTTATATCCAAATTTTCAGAACGATTCAAAAACTGGTTTTCAAGAAATGCCAAATTTACGAAACTTTCACAAAACTTGCATTTTAAGCGAAACTACTAAGTGTATCTTTTTGGAAATTTGGCTATAAGCCTCATTTTTGATTCTCTACAACTTTTCTATTGACACCAAAATGGGTTTCTTTTGAAGAAAGTGTGAGAACTGGGACATCGGACATCTCCAGTCCTCGATTTTTGAGTCTCACACTTGTCTCAGACACAAATCAAAATCCTACTACGAAAGAGGAATCCGCAAATTGCCTGTAAAATTCGCAGAAGTCGTCAATAATAATGGAAATTATTTGTAATGAATTCATGGTTTTCTGTTCAATAAATGTTAGTTCATAGTCCGGCAATAGTGCACCCAAGCGAGCCGAGTTGGTGACTATCTTACGGTTTCCAACCTTTTGCAGAAGCTCAACACTCAAATCCCCATACAGTCCGGACCTCGGCCCTTTTGATTACTATTTATTCCGGAGCAAGGAGTCATGAGCTTGCGGGAGAACACTTCGATTCGGAAGAAGCAGTCAAAAATTGGCTTTGAAAGTTTTTCGATTCAAAACCAAAATCCTACTACGAAAGAGGAGTCCGCAAATTGCCTGTAAAATTCGCAGAAGTCGTCAATAATAATGGACATTATTTGGAATGAATTCATGGTTTTATGTTGAATAAATTTGAGTGCAAAGTCCCGCAGTTTTCAATTCACCAACCCAATAGATATACATTATTCATCTAATTCTTTTCTTTAAGTTATATATCTCAACAACCTCTCGCCCATCAATCATCAGCCATCCATCACAATTCGCCTCATTTGATGGGGTTTTTCGATTGGATCAGAATAGCAATCGATTCTTGAATCTCACTTTTCAGGTAATCTTAAAAATTGATCATATTTATGAAATGATGAAATGAATTCAGGATGCAAAGGGGACAATGATCGGGAAAATCTATCGAGATGCTGATGAGAAAGAAACTGATATGACTTTCTCTGTACAAACAGCCGATTCAAGAGTACTCAGGAGCCCTTATTTTCTGATTGCTGTGAGTTAGCAAAGAATCAAGATAAAGATAAAGAAAAATGAATATGAATAAAAAAATATTAAGGAATTTATTCAGGTTCCCGCCATCGACAGTCGTCGTTTTGTTTGCTTTCATCCATCAAGTGATCAAGGGGGGAAACAATGCAAATGGCTTGAGTGAGTTAACGAAGAAATCATCGTGGTTTGTGAAATCGATATAAAATCAATAATCGAATCGATAATCGATGTAATATTTACCTAATAATATTCATATCGATATCTACTACCGTATTCTCTCTAATAGTAGTACACCGTGAGCATCGCCGTGAATTTCAATAATCTCCGGTGTTCTTTTCTCTAAAGAGAGAAAAACAAAAGTATTCAGTTGATGATATAATAAATAAATGTTCATTCGAAATTCCTTCAGAAACAAAGAGAAATTGAATAGAAAATTGAATAGAAATTGAATAAATTCGATAAAAATCTTCAATAAACAAGAGTGCTTTTTGAGAAATAATATTTAGATAATCGATATTTATCTAATAATATTTATATCGATATTTACTATCGTATTCTCTCTAATAGTAGTGCACCGTGAGAGTTGCCGTTGCCTAAATTCCTCGAAATCTCGAGAACCACTTATCAGAACCTATCGATGTGGGGTTGGAAAATGTAGCTGACGATGAGATCTAGTGGGGATTTGAGCGTTGAGCTTCTGTGAAAGCTTGGAAATGGTCAAATAGTCACCAACTCGGCTCGCTTGGGTGCACTACTATTAGAGAGAATACGGTTTTCAATTTACCGCTTGTAAGTTTGATTAGGCATCAGATTTCCATTAGATTTATCACCAAAAGTTCACTTTTCCCATTGGTGCCATTATTTAGTCATTATCTTTTAAGCTTTTAAGCATAAATAGATTCAAATGTAAGATACCGTATTCCCTCTAATAGTAGTGCACGATGAGCGTTGCCTAAATTCCTCGAAATCTCGAGAACCACTTATCAGAACCTATCGATGTGGGGTTGGAAAATGTAGCTGACGATGAGATCTTGTGGGGGATTTGAGTGTTGAGCTTCTGTGAAAGCTTGGAAACCGTCAAATAGTCACCAACTCGGCTCGCTTGGGTGCACTACTATTAGAGAGAATACGGTATATTTAAAGCAAAAGAGACGTTTGTCTCTCTGTCACAGGCACTTTTCTCGACGCCCAGATCGAATTTCGAGATGCAGTTTTTCTTGTTCGATAGGAAATTTTATGCTGATTTCGCCCCAAAAAAAAAAATCAAGAAAATCCATCGAACCAATTTTTTAAAAAAGTCTAAAAACTAGAAGACTAGCCGAGCCCAATGTTGCCTAACTTCCCCTCCCGCGTGCAGATGGTCGAGTGGTTAGAGCGCGCGTGTCTCAAACGAGCGTGGGAAAGAGGGATCGTGGGTTCGGTGCCTCTCGGAGAAAATTAGTTTTCTTTTCTTTTCAAAATTGATTTTAACTGTTGGAAAGTCAATTTCGAGAGTTTTCTACTATAAATAAAAGGGAAGAGGAGTCCGTCTGTTCAAATAGCATGATTGAACATTGTCTACAATGAAGTTCTCGAATAAACTATGGAAAAATTAACCCAATACCCCCTTTCTAGGGCTTCATGGCCCCCAGCCACAGATCTTTGGACTGTGTCATGGGAGGAGAGTGTGCCTAGACCTCCGCGCCGTTCTCCCTAAAGTTTCCCATATTTGAGATGAGCTAACTATAGGAATGGGTTTAAAACAACTTGGATAAATGAAATAAATGGATCGCCGACTACTTTCAGCCCCAACTTTCCAGCAGGAAAAGCGGCGTTAGCCGAAAAGATTCCTGTTACGAAGAAAATATGATTATCCATTGGCACGACAAAAAGGATTATAAATTTATGTGAGACCTCAGCCCGCAGCAGTTTTCAGCTGCGTTAGCAACCGAAAACTGCTCGTATCAATATGTTTCACAATAATATGCAACAAAAACCTTTCCAGATTCAACGCCACCGAACCAGCTCAAGTTCAAATCGCTCATCCATGGCAGACGGCACAGGGCGATTGTGTGGGATGTAATGAAAGAGGATTTGATGCATTATGGGTGGCAATTGATCCAAGAAGATGGTTAGATGGGATAAATACGACAACGGAATTGGTGACAATGTTGATTGAGGGTAAGTCACTGTAATACTTACACTTAACTGGTGGCTAAATGAATTTAAATAAACCTGTATTTGAAACAGAGAACTTTGCTTTACTAGCTGCTCTTTATTAACTTGATTAACTGATTTATTAACTTTGCAAATTCAAAAAGAAAGAAAAAGTCGGACGAGGACTCGAACCTGAGCCTGCCCTTCGATGTCGGCCTTGTATTCTAGTCCACTACCACTTAGCCACCACTGCTGCCGAAGGTCTCTAGTAAATACGCCTATCAACTCGGAGTGTCTCATATTTTAAAAATCCCACACAAAACTTTGAATGCTTCTAACTTTTGACAGAGTGCTTTATATCAGAAACGGAAAACAGATTCGGAATCAGCGTTGAATTCTGCGTTAAAAAAAACCCGTGTCACATCTCATTTTTGCCACCAAATTCCCTTGTTAGTTCCAGTCTTCTAATCAAATCCTTTTACAGTAGCAATTGCCGTGCTCGGGATGTTAATGGTCGTCATGTTGTTCTCAAAAATCATCTATCCAATGTGTCGTTGTGTTATCTTCATGGCAACACCACCAACTCCAAAAAAATGATTTTACAAATATCATTGTTATCTCTTTTTCCCTAGTCTTTCTTTAGGTGTTGAATTTTTCATCAAAATCGGGTTATTTGTTTTGAATTTTTGAAAAGTAACCTATTGCAAAATAGGCAACGTTTAAATTACGTTTAAAAATCTGATATTCCATTTATTTGTGTTTCCTTTTTTTTTCATTAACTTCATAAGCAAGTTTACTTACTTTAAGTTACTTGTTTCCCAGCTCATCCTCTGTGCTCTAAGCGCTCATAAACGTGAGCTCTCTGACACACTGCGTGCCAGAAACTCTTCATTTTACATTTTAAAAGCAAAAGCAAAAAGTAGAGCTTGAAAAATTGTGACTTTTTTTGTTTGTTTTGTTTTGCCTTTACCTTGCCAAAGATATTTTTCGTTATTTAAATAATAATTGTTCTCAATTTCTCACTTTATCTTTCTTTTCTATCTTTATCTTTCTCACTTTACCAAAGCCTACTTATCTATTTTGGTGCTTATTGAAAACTTTGTGCAATTACTCCAAATTTCATGTGATTTTTTTACCTATTCATTCAGGCATTTTTTTTCTTTTTTTTTTTGATGATTTTTCTGTTTACTTTATGAATTAAAACTTGAATTTCAATAATCTCCGGTGTTCTTTTCTCTAAAGAGAGAAAAACAAAAGTATTCAGTCGATGATATAATAAATAAATGTTCATTTGAAATTCCTTCAGAAACAAAGAGAAATTGAATAGAAATTGAATAAATTCGATAAAAATCTTCAATAAACAAGAGTGCTTTTTGAGAAATAATATTTAGATAATCGATATTTATCTAATAATATTTATATCGATATTTACTATCGTATTCTCTCTAATAGTAGTGCACCGTTGCCTAAATTCCTCGAAATCTCGAGAACCACTTATCAGAACCTATCGATGTGGGGTTGGAAAATGTAGCTGACGAGGAGATCTAGTGGGGATTTGAGTGTTGAGCTTCTGTGAAAACTTGGAAACCGTCAAATAGTCACCAACTCGGCTCAGCGGGATGCACTACTATTAGAGAGAATACGGTTTTCAATTTACCCCTTGTAAGTTTGATTAGGCATCAGATTTCCATTAGATTTATCACCAAAAGTTCACTTTTCCCATTGGTGCCATTATTTAGTCATTATCTTTTAAGCTTTTAAGCATAAATAGATTCAAATGTAAGATACCGTATTCCCTCTAATAGTAGTGCACGATGAGCGTTGCCTAAACTCCTCGAAATCTCGAGAACCACTTATCAGAACCTATCGATGTGGGATCGGAAAATGTAGCTGACGAGGAGATCTTGTGGGGGATTTGAGTGTTGAGCTTCTGCAAAAGCTTGGAAAACGTCAAATAGTCACCAATTCGGCTCAGTGGAGTGCACTACTATTAGACAAAATACGGTATCCAATTTTCACTCAAATTCGATAAAATACAAAAAGTTTGGTCTCAGTGTGTGCTATTTATCTGGATTCCCGAGATATGAGACCTTCCCACAGAGCTCAGTTTATCCACTAGTCCACATTTCGACTAGTTGGAACCCCTGCACAATTCAGCATTGACCATCCGCGGAATAGAACCGCCGTTGAGTGGGCGAGAGACGAGTGAGTGACCCACTTGGACAAGAGAGCCGACTGGAGAGGGGACAAGAATTACCGAGATGTTCATGGGAGTTGCCAATGGGTATAATTTGGGATTGGGATTTTTGATGCACAAAAAAAAAGAAGGAATTTTTCTCAAGACTCTTTAGCAAATTTAGCATACTTTCCAAAGGATTCGTAAAAAAAATCGAAAATCCTTTGAAAATACCCTTTTTTACATCAAAAGCCGTTTACTCAAGCACGTCGAAAAGTTCAAATTTTTGGAAAATCTGGTTTTTGAAAAATGTACATTGAGTTTTTATAATTTTACAACAATAAACATTTACAAAAGTGAACGAAATTGAGATTTTGATCGAGGAAACTTGTCTTTCTTTTCATTTGTCGTGAGTTGTTCAGAGCTTTTCTCTTTCTTTTTCTTCTAAAAAATTTCTTATTCATTGCACATTTGATGAGTGCTTGTTCTTCCTTCTTTTCTTTCTTTCTTTCTTTCTTTCCTTTTCTTTCTTTCTTTCTTTCCTTTTCTTTCTTTCTTTCTTTCTTTCTTTCTTTTTTTCCTTCTCTTTATTCTCATCGATTACCTCAAAATCGACCAAAATTATTCCCAAAATGATAAACTTTAAATTTGATCTCTTGAACTGATTTCTGATCGGGTCTGGCTTTGTTTACGGACCGCATTTTACGTTTTAGAAAACAAAAACAAGTTTCTTTTGCTAATCTTGTGCTGATTACTGATTTCTGATTCCATTCACGTTTAGAACATTTCCTAAAACGTAAAATCCCGTCCGCAAACGATGCTTGCTCTAGGGAAGAATAAGAAAATCCATGCAAAGTATTCCTAAGCTCAGTAAATCCTTTTTAACAATTCAATGAAAGTTTCTATATAAATTATAAA